TATATGTATATTAGGATTTTATCGAGCGTTTTATTAAAATTAAGGCATATTAAAAGTAATATGAATAATAAAAACATAATTGTAAAGAATTACTGTAGAATTCAAAAATCCCGTAAGTGAGAATAATTTGATTTAATTTTTTTCTACATCAAAATATATTTAAAGGTATAACTTTTTTTTGCAAAACATAAATATAATTTGTTTTTCCTTATAACTGTATATTCTTGGTGCTTCATATCTATATTATCTATACTTTTTATGTGTAACTGTTTTTTTGTTACTTATTCAAGGAATAATTAATATTTGTGATTTTTTTGTTATGAATAATATATTTAAAAGTATTATATAAAAATGAATATTTTCTTTGTTTTTCCTTTTCTTTTTATCTTAAAATTTGAAACATTATATTTATAATGCATAGTACATGAATACATAAAAATATTATTAAATATAGATGTTATATTTGTGATATATTTCATAAATATATTCTATTCAGAATAATAACTCTATTAATTAATGCTTTAAGAATATTGTAATTTTAAATGTAATGATTATAGTACATGTATAATATATATATAGCTCATCACTTGCTTATTGCATATTTTATTAGTATCGTATATTCTAATAATAAAAACATAAATATGTAACAACTTTTATATTCTTTTTAAAATCCTATAAAAATAACACAAAAAAAAATAAAAAAATGATGCATATAAAAAAATAACTCGCATTATATTTTTCGAAACATTTTATATAATTAGTATATGCTTGTTTTATTTAGTACAATAAAAATATATAACCTTAAATAAAATATAAAAGATTAATATTCATTATATAATAAAAAAATTAATATATATGAGTAATGTATTAAGGGACATATAAAAAAAAATAGATTGGTACAACACTTATAACACAGTGTAAGAATTATTAGACATTTATTCTTAATATAAAATATGAAAATATTTAGCTAAAAGTTTAATACAAAAAATGTTTATATAACTGTTTATAATACAAACTTTTTGTTCAGATCATCCCTAAGTATTACAAGATATTATTAAATAATTTATAATATTTATGTGCCATTAAGAAATAAATAAACATGCAATTCCTATTTATTAGTTTCATATCATACATTAAATAAAGATGATTAAATTCACATATAATAAGTTACATATATATATTTTATAAAAAACTTATATATAAATATAAAGATGATGTTATAAAAAAAATAATATATATCTCCTTAAATATGAAGCATGAATAACTAAAACTAAAACATAAAACCTAACGTCAAGACCTAAAACAAAGAAATATAAATCAATCATATAAATTATTATTATTTTGCTAAGAATTTACAAAATTTGTTGTAACCATAATAATTATTTAAATAAACTGTATATTAAGATGTTATGATTTTAAAAATCCTGGATAATATAATAGATTTATGCAAGTTCATAAATAATTTCATATAAAAATTGTTCATATATAATCATTTATACTTAAATAAATATAATAATAATATATATATAAATGTAAAAATAATTATATGTATTATATGATATATATTTTCTGTTATTACAATATAAAGTGCAAAAAAATATGAAAACATTAATATATTTTTCTCCTAATATTCTTATATAATACATGAAATTTGTTTGAGCACATAAGAATTACACTATATATTATTTCATATTGCAATTAATAACATATACAACCTAAAATGTATTTCCCAAATATTAAATATATAATGAGAAATTTTATTTTATGTATCATTATTATATGTGTAGTTATATAACAATCCCAAATATGTCCCAAAATAAATTTCTACTATAAATTAAATCTAATAATACCACATATATAATGTTAGTATATTAGGAACATGGGAATTGAAGTAGAAGTAATAAAATACTAAGTTATCCTCATATATTCCTTACAATATAATGAGAAATACCCGTAAAATATGATCATTTCTATTAATACGTTAATATATAATTTGATATATGAATTCTGAAATCGATAATCACTAAACTATAAATCTTATATATTCTAATTTTTCATATTTCTTACCATAAATTATATATGCCACAATGAAAACTATATTATGAATGAATATACGTACAATTATATGAATATTAAAAAGACTTACATTTATTTATGATGTATCGTTTTCTTTATTGAATATATTGTTATAACTTTATAATTTTTATATATCAAATCAGAATTTCTTTTACATTTTAGAAATCTCTAATATCTTCTCTTTTTAATATAAATATCGCATTTATATTTTTTACTCATTTATTAAATTGAATGATAAATTATTCTACATCCAAGAAATCCTTTATATTATATTTTAAGAAGAATCATAATTAATTTTGATGCGAATAAATAATAATATAACATTATATCAATAAATATAATAAATTGTGACATAAATATTCATTATGCAGTGTCTTTTTTTTTAAAAACATATTTTTGTATTTTCACACATTTTATTATCTTATATGAGCATGTGCTGTATAATATAATATTTTATATGATGGGAGATAATATTGTACCCTTGAAATATAATGTTATGCATGCCAGTGTTATATAATTACAAATATTACATTTTCTATAAATATAATAAAACTATTTTTAGCATCATATAATTTATGTAATGTTACACTTTTTTCTCTTAATATTAGTATGGATTTCTAGATGATTTTTCTTATTGGGAGGAAATCATGCAGATGAAAGAGAATGACAATTATGGAAGTTACTATAATGCGTATTGCTCTTCTATTGATTATGTATTTAAAGGCGAAAATAAAACTGAATTTATAAAAGAAATATGCCCCAAATCTTTTTCATGTTTTTATGATATGCTTATTTCGAAAAAAAATACCAATTATAGAGAAGCAGGATGCAGATATTTTCCTTATTGGTTGTACTATATTCTGAAAAAACACAATTGCAGTAACGATACAGTACAGATTTACAAAACATTGATGAACACATATCTCAGATATTTGCCTTCGGCAAGTACATTTTGTACTGAATATGCGAATAAATTAACCAACGAACAATTGGAGGATCTTATATCTATATATAATACCTATAAATGCATTAAAAAAACAGAAACAAATTATATACCTCAGAATAACAATGAATATTGCATTACATTAAAAAAAATTATAGATAAATACCAAGAATCAATAATAGAAGAAGATCATGACATGGCTCAATCGCGAAAATCATCAATTGAAGGAAATATTATACAAGAAATAGCATGCTCTTGTCGATCCAATATTATAAATACTATTGCAACTACAATAATTTTAACCTCACTAATATTATTTTTTTTGTTACTTGTGTTTAAGGTTAATTATGGTATTTTTTGTATTTACAGATAATACAAATTCTGTTTCCTAATATCTTGAAAAAAAAGAATCCATCACATTAAAATTATAAAATTAATTCCTAATTTTTTCCCCGTATATTAGTATACTTCATATGGTCCATTATTACGCCATGGAATAAAAAGTATAAGAAAAAAGCTGTACAATATATTTAATACACGGAATATACCGAAACGAACCGAAGTACCCATAAATATTCTCAATAGTGGGATCTATGATATGATGTACAATCAATTCTAATATTACTAATATATATATATAATTCGAAGAAAATTCATTTTAAAAAATTTATAAAAGTATTTTAGTAAATTCCATAATACTCACATCTCTCAAGAAAATACTTAAAAACGAAACAATTCTTATAATATAATAAAAAAAATTCATGTATATTATTATCTATATAATACATAGTGTTTCATAATAATAATTAATAAAATATTAATACCTAGGAATATAAATAGTAAATAAAAGTACAACGAATAAAATTAGTACTTGTTTTAATATGCAGTGTTTTGTATATATAATTTCATATTAAGTTATAATTTAGTATTTTATAGATAAAATAATAATACACTACATTGACTAATATAATAATAATTATGAAACGTATAATTTGTTATATAAATTGAATGCAGTACAAGTCTCTTGTAAAAATATTATGATATATAACAGTATAACTTTATTAAAAGCAATTCTCATTTATTATGTATACATATTCATAATTAATTTTTAATTATATATTCCTTCATTCCTTTGTAATATTTTTTAATATTAATGATATTGTATTTGCAACCATATATGATATTAATGTGTGGAATTTTATTCTATATAAGAATATATGTATACTGAAGAACAAGAATTACGAAAAATAAATTATTTTTCGCATTTTCTTTTTTTATTGTATTTATTTCATTTGATCTAATTTATTTCTTTTTGTGTATTTTAATTTATACCCCAAATTATTATAATTATATAATATTATAATAATATTTAGTGTACACACATTAGCAATACAAAAAATAAAAATATACATTAATTTTTTTAAAGTTAACATTAGGTGTAAAATAAAATTATATATATTTATTTAATTAACGAATCAACTATATTACAAATTCATGACATAGTCATTATCTTATATTTTTACATTATTTCACATATAGTTATAAAACATAGAAACCGAATATGATAACATTATATACATTTTCCCTTTATATTCATTAAATTAAAATAAAGCAACGTACTCTAATTGTAATATATATTTTATAATACATTTCTCTATCAATAATATTTGTAAGAGCATTATCACTTGCATCACAATATATTCGTTAATATTAATTCATATTTTTTTTCTCCTGTACCAAATGTGTCAAAATTATCATAAATTCCTGGAATATAATTATGATAATTTATTATTTTAACACTCTCCAAGTGTAATTTTACTCTAAATTACCTTAAGTGTATCACTTCTCCTCATAATGTTAGAATGTATTTTGCCTTTTAAACTAAAATACACATAAGTAGTTCAATAATTTATAATACACATATCAATGGCTCATAATTTTATTATTCTTCTAATTATAGTCAAAACAATCCTAGTATTAATTACATTTATTATTATAATCTCTTTCTTCGTGCTATACATTCATGAATTGTTCATATAAATAATTATTTATTTGTATATCGTATAATACTTAAATCATGTTTTTTTTAATGCTTATATTTCATTATTTTTCTATATTTTTGTCTCATTGCGCATTCTCACACAAATATAATAGCATATTTCCTCATAAAAATCTCTTAAATAATAATTTATTAATGATTAATTACAGAAAAAAAATTTGTACAGAATGACATGTCAAACATAATTGTCTTATGTCGTAATATATAAAATTAGATTATGAGACATATGATTCTATTTCCCCTTCGACTATTTCATTATTATTTGGGGCTAATTTTTCTTTTTTATTCTCATCCTATAGGCATTGATACATATGAAGTAAAATAATCATATATAAATATAGGAAAATATTATTATTTAATAAATATATACGTGTAAAAATTATAAATTTCAATATAAAATACTTATATATTTAATTCTAATATGTATATACGCTATAATAAAACTCCAACTTCACTGTTCCTAATATTAAATAATATACGATAAAACCATTAAAAAGGTATTAATTTTATTAATATAATTTACTTCTATAATATTGGAAAAGTTAAATTATTTTACTTGATACATTAAGTTGGATAGAGGATGTGCTATGTCTAGCTTCTTTAGTTTCATGTTACTGATAAATTTTTCAGGCACAATAGAACCTAACTCACGATTTTCATATCCTACGTCCTTAGCTTCTTTAACATTATCTATATATAACTTATTAAATGACAATAAAACGCTTCAAATAGCACTTTTTTTCACATACTTCTTCAATAGCAAAATAGAGTTAGAAATATAATTCAATAGATACATAGTCACAAGGTCAAAATTCATACTCATAATTCACATAAATCGGATTAATATAATTTTTTTAAATACATTTTCTTGTCAGTTTTATCATAATTATTATTATTCATATGTTTATAATATAAAAAAGTATCATGTAAATATTTCCATTATTCCCAATTTTATGGGTTATTGATTTATAACATATATATGGTTCCAATTTAGACTGTTTTTTAACTAATAGTTCTACAAGTTCACATATATTACAACTGACATATCTATTTTTTAGATCACATTCCTTTTAGTCCTCTTTCACTATATGATTATGGAACCAATCGGAAGAGTAATAACACACATACTATAGCTCATTTTCTTGTTTGACAAACAATTTTTTAAAATTATTTGCAATATTTTTATAAAAGATTAAATCTTCTTCGTTAAAGCTTTTTCACGACCTCCAGTATCCATTATTATATTTTTAATAAAAGTTATATCGAATTCATTATATTTGTTATTATTAAATATATAAATATTTCATTCCTTTAAATACAAGGAAAATACAAGTAGAATTATATAAAATTAAATTATTCATAAAAAAAATGTCATTCTGTGCTCATAAATTTATAGAAAATTTTCACAGAATTCTTTATTTTCATATCAAAAGTGCACATAAGACAAATAATCCTATTTAACGATAGTGTCCTATTTTATTTCATCAAAATAAATTAATTACAAAATACAAGAAATTACCTACATGTGAAAACCTATTTATTTAACATCAAATTATTCTATGGTTCTGTTACCATCATGAAACGTGAATACTTTCAATTATTTGTAAAGTATAAGTAAAATTGGTTTTCTGAAGGATATCAATTTAAAAGTATAATACACAAACCTATTAATAATGAGTTATAAATAAAATAATTCTTATTTTCACATAGTGCTAATTGTGACGTTTTCATATCATTCTTAGGTAAGTCTGCTTAGATGTGAATTATCGAAATACCATATTATAACTTATTGCTTATAATAGATAGATAATATCTGGATTATTCACTAAAAAAGTGTAATTTATTCCATTATTCTCTTACGTTTTTTTTTGGTAGTTATTTATATGATTTATTTATTATGCATTCTTAAAATTACAAAATTTAAAAATTGGTAATGTCATTAAAGCTAAAGTGCTGTCAATTAATTAATATAATTTGCGATACCTTGATTTAATTTAGTGTATAAAATATATATAGTGTGTAAAAAAAATATTATAAATTATGTCTGCTATTACAAACCATTGCATAACATAATAAAGTGTAGAATTTCGAAATAATTAAATATTTATTCAGCAGAAAAAAAATTTTTGTTACAGTATTCATTTTTTAACATGTAATAAATAAACATATTAAAGTTAATATTTTTCCATGTACATAAAATATAAACGTTTGTTATAAATCATTTAAAAATATATATATATTCCAAACTACAATGATACAAGATCTCACATGTATGATAATTTTAAAAAAGAAGTTAATTTGCGGTATTTATATAAATGTATTTGAAAATTTACCTTTTTTTTACATTTCAATTATTTCTTTTTCAAATAAACAAGAAATTTTATATATATTTTGCTTTATAAAAAAAGTAAAAAATGCGTTCTTAACTTTTATTAATTTTTCATTGAAATATAACATGCAAAAATGTTATGTTTATTAAACAATATAATATAATAATCATGGATCTTTTTAATTGTCTTAGCTGTATGAATATATAATACAGCATACATTTCGCAAATTTTTTTAGAAACAAATTATGACAATAATGAATACTTATGTGGATTGGAATGTTCTTTTCACAACATAAGTGCGTAAAAATAAGTAGAACCATTATTTCATTTCTATTTTGTTCCTTATATACATAATATAAAACGTATTTATTCTCTGCAAACAAGTATAAAAATAATCCCTCACTCTGCAAGTCTATTATGTTATTGAAATAGTTTTCAATATGTACATCTACATTTTTTAATTTTTTTATGGTAATACTACCCAGATATGGTCTGTCTTTTCTATATGAAGCTATATTATCATATCAGGTGTAGCAATAAATGTTATAGAAATGAAAAGGCTAATAAGCCATTATATTTCAAACAAAAGTGTAGCATTTTCTTGCAAAAAATGTTAAAAATTCTTAATGATTTTTGTCTATTTAATTGAACGAATATGTTTCAAGTGAAATATTAAAATAATGTAATGAGAGGTTACGGACTGCTCTTGTATACTATTATTTTATATAACATATGTGTGTCGTGCATATTTAATACATTTTTAGTCTTAAATAAAAAGTCTCCATAAATATTTTGATCAATTATATATTATATTATTGTTTCCTTTAACTCTATTTCCACTTTAATAATTCAATTATTCACCAAATAAAACTAATTCTTCTGAGAAGAATGAATATAGAGACATGTAACAATTTTTGATGTACGTAAGAACGTAGATGTCTCTAAAAATTTTAAAGGAATATATACTTAAAATAAAAATATAAATAGTTAATTTTGAATTTATATCTATTGAAATCAATTTATGTGTTAAATAGACATTTTAATTAAAAAATAACTTTTACAAAAATAAAATAAATCTGCTTATAATTAATTTATTATTTTAATACGAAACAATACAAAAAACATATTACCCTAATAATAAAGAAGAAGATACATAAGCACTAAGAAATTTTTATCAGACAAGAATAGAATTATACATTTTATTATTTCTAACACTTCTAAGAAGGCTTA